GCAGGAAAAAGGTGGCTTGCTCCTAGCTGCACAATCGAGGCACGCCGAGAGCAGGTAAATCCTGGAGTAACACGAATCCCCCAGAAGCAGTGAGATGTTCGGTTGGCGTCGCTCGGCCAGACGGTGTCATCGCCGACGCCGTACTGAGGTGACAAGTGGACACGATGGCTTGAAGTCCTGGATGAAGGGTGATAACAGTCACGGCTCACACTCACAGCGGCCTTCGTCCCTGTGTGGCGTCACCCCAGGGGAGCAACGGAAATCCGTAAATGAAGAAACAGTTACTTTCTGAAACATTTACCACGCTCAGCGCTCGACGTGAATTGTCTCTTTTAGTCCTGTAAGGTAGATATTTTTACCCTCCTTTCGGATGTGAGGAGCCAGAGGCTCCTTCGCAGAGAGGGCAAGTAACTTGCTCAGCGTCGCCCGGCAGACACGTGGGCTCCAGACCGCGAATCCGGGCAGAGGTCTCACACGGCCCCCTCTGCACGGTGTCGCTCGCACACGAAACCTCACTGGTGCACAGACGGAACAAAAATGCGGCTCTCTCCGAAATGTAAGTGCACTCTAGAGTGTTAACTCAAAGTCGAGAGATGTCCCCAGGTTGGTGGCAGCTGTTACTGTGAGAAAACGGTGTTGTTAACATTTCCAGTGACCTTAAAAGGTGTTTGGGGTTTGGGGAAGCCACGTCTTCAACCTTCACTGTGAGCAACTGTCAAGTGTAAGTCATCTTCACTCTGCGACTAACAGGCTTTTCTGCCCCTGGGATGACTAAGGCACAAGAGAGATGGTTTGCTAAAGACCCTGGCTGTGTAGGACCAACTCCTGCTAAGCCAGCCTTGAGTCTGGGCCTGGAAGCGAGACTGTGTCTCTGCCTTTCAAAAATGGGTTAAAAGGGGCCGTTTCTGTTACCATGACGGCACGGGCCCAGTGCTGGCCTTTCAGACGCTCACCGTCCTCCCCTGTGAACCTGCTTCAGGCCCGTGTGGGGAGCTCTCCGCGACCTCGCCTCCGGAGGGGTGTCGGGCTGGGCCAGGCCCCGGGGCGCCTCAGGGCCCTTGCCTGCATCACGCCCTCCCCTCCACCCCTGGACTTGCTCGGTTTTACAGTACTCAGGGCCACAGGGACAGGCGGTGCAAGGACCCGCCATCCAGTCACCGACGCCTTCATTTTCAGTCAGACCCCTCTGCGGTCCTTGCTGACTCTGGCGTCCTGTAATAAATACTTATCTGGACAATGGCACACACGTCAGTCGATGACTTCCTTTGTTACATGTAAACTTCGAGGATCAGCGGCAAAGAACCAAGTAAATCAAGTATCTTAAAACTGAAATTGTTTCAGTTGTTGAAACAGAATTACTAAAATTGTTTGAGTTCTAATTATCGATGTGCTTAGCCTTTTCTCCACTAAAATCCTGGCCTTTTTTTCAGCTTCTAAAAATAAAGGAAATCCGATGAGACCACGTCCCTGCTCAAAGCTTGTCAGCGGCTCCCTCGCGCCCCCGGGACAAAACCCAATGCTTTCGTCATGGTAAAGAGAGTTCCCCGTCCATCCGGGCTCACTTCTTTAGTCTCCTCTCCCGACATCCCTCACTCTGCCCCCAGCTAAGCCCGAGACCTGCCGCACCAGCTCACCAGGTCTCTGCCTCTTGGTGGGCCCGGGCACCCCCACCCTGAGACACCCCGTCCTCACCTTTCCTCTCCACCCACGCTTGGCTGAGTGACTCCTCATGCGTCTGTCTCCGTGAACGTGGCACTTCCTCCTGACTGCTTCCTCCCTCCCGCCCCTCCCGCCACTGCCCCCACGGGTAAGGGTGCCACTCCGTGGACCCCCGTGGAAAAGCGCAGTGGCTTTCACTCTGTTATAACAGCCCCTGGATCCGCCCCTCTCCCTCTGACCATAAATCCCGAGAGCAAAGACTGTCACCTTCACGCTGTGTCCCCAACACCCGGCCATGGTGTCTGGTACTTAGACGCCTGATAAATGTTTCTGATTGAGTGTTATTCATGCCCGTGTGATTTTCGATGTTTTTACGATTCAGAATAGAGTTTCCATTCTCTGTACACTCTCTGCCAGTCGCTGAGAACAACGGAGTGACTCACATTTTCTCCCACCAGAAGCTGATGCCTCCTCGGGCTCAGATGGCTGTCCGCTCCCCCCACCCCGCCCCCGCACGCAGGAGGAACCCAGCCTCGGCCCTGCTGAGTAACACACCCCATTAGTCCCACCGGAGGACCAGCTCTTACTCAACCAGACAGGTGAGTAGGAGAAGTGTGTTGGGGACCAGGGAAGTGTGCAGTCACAGCTCCATGCCAAGATGGACACTTTCACGAGGTACAGGATGGACGGGCAGCAAGAAAAACATGAGTGAGGGACGTCGATAAGGGAACCATGACAATGGCCACAGCAAATTAGGCTACCGAGGAGGAAGAGCCAGATTCCAACTGCGAGACAGGACATGGCAGTTCACTAGATAAAGGGGCGAAATAGAGAGAGGCTCAAAGTGGCTTCGACTCCCGGGTCTAGAAAACGGGAAGAAGGCAGGCGGCACCCACAACAGAAGCCGGAATCATTCGAGGGGCGCGTGACGTGATTCGTTTTTTAGGGAGGCGGGGTGTGTATTTGATACGCTAACAGTATACAAGTTAAAAGGCTCAATTATTCAAACAGGAAAACAGATAACATGTTTTACGTGATTGTTATGTGCCAATCGCTTTACCAAATTAACTTCTTTGATACTCGCTACAAGAATATGAGGTAGATTCTGTTATTCTCCCCATTTTAGAGATAAAGAAACCCGAGGCTTAAGTCACTTGTTCACATTCACCCAGCTGCTCCGAGTGGCAGACGGGACTGAGCGCTGTGACCCCAGCACCTTCACTGTGTGGAAACTGAGGCCGGCGAGGGGGCTCGGCGCTCTCTGTAGACTCCAGGGCAGTCCGCATTGGGGTGCTGATCAAACCCCGTAGTGGATGAGGTGATCGAGAGAGGAAAGAGCTGGGACCAGGGACAGACGTGAAAGGCGGAGGGTGAGCAGGCAAGGGACAGCGACGAGGCCACGGTGACGGTGACACGCGGCAGGACCTGCCAGGAAGGGGAGCGAGCGGAGCGAAGCTTCGCGGGGAAAGGTGGAAACGGGTTCTGAAGAGAGTGATGATAATGTCAAGCGCTGGGCAGAGGCGGAGGAGGGGAAATCGCTGAAGACCACGGGACGTTTATTACGGTCGTTGTCGGGGTGATAATCAATGTGTTTCCTGAGTACGCCGGGCATCCGCAGGGCGGAAAGCAGAGAAGTGTCAAGGAGGAAGTTTGGGTGACAGCAGCAGCTTCACAGACGTGCGTCTGGGAGCAGCGCAGAAAGGTGAAGAGACATCTGTGCTGTGGCTTCTGTGCTTCGAAGATGCAAAGCTGTGACAGGCCGGGAATGATCACTAAGGCTTCCTGGGACCCGCAGGTATCACCCCGGCGTAGCCGAAGCCTCAGAATCACTCCAGGTTAACACACTGACGTTTAATTTGGACACACGATCTGAGACAGCCTTGACTCCGGCATGCTGGGCCCCGAGGATCGTTTGCCAAAGATCCAGATCATATTTCTAGCTCCCCCGTCAGGCTCCGGCACCAGATAACGTGGAGCGCGGCCTTTCCTGAAATTAGCTGGAATGGTTTTTCATCTGGACCATTCAAAGTATACTTTATACACAACGACGAAACTGACAAAGTAGGTTCATTCTCTTCAACTTCGCCCACTGCTAATTCATCTTCCAGCTCGATCTGCAGGTGGTCTGAAGCTCAGGGAACCTAAGACGATCTCTGCCAGCACTGGACCCTTTGGAAGAAGAGAAGGGTTTTTCCTTTTCTGTGGTTCAATAATAAATGAACTGGCATCCGAGATGCTAAGACTAAACTCCCATTAGGTGCTTAGTGGGTTCACAGAGTGTGTGCTGGTGGGGGAGGGGCAGGACCTACCGATCGTCTCGAGAAATCGTAAGATGTTAACACTAAAGGAACATCAGAACCACCTAGCTCAAGGCCTTAGTCTGCAGACGCAGAAAATGAGGCCCCGAAAAGGGAAAGAATTCGCTCAAGTCTCAGAGCTAATCAGTACCAGCACTGGTACCGGTCCCAGTACCACGGCTGGAGCCTGAATCTCTTCACCAAATCCAGTTCTCTTTCCACTATACTATTGCGAAAAAAAGGTACCAGAGTGTGTATTTTGCAAAATGTTCTTGATCGAAAAAAGTCATTTGTAAACTATCCATTGTGTTTCAGTATGCCCAACTGGTGTGATGAAAATTTTCACGGTCTCGTAAAGCCTTGCTGATCGACAGGGAAAAGCGGATATTGCGAAACTTTCTGTGCATTTTAAAAGTGCAAATAAAGCAGCCACGTTTAAAGTAAAAAAAAAAAAAAAAAAATCCACCCACGGATTTCGTCCTCCAGCTGGCACCCCCACATTTAGCCTCTAGTGCCCCTTACTGTCTCTTGCTTCAGGCGAGAGGGAGGGGAGAGAAACGGGCAGATGAGCTCTGCAATATGAACTGAGCAGCACCCCGGGACTTTTTTAAGCAGTAACACAAACTTTGGGAAAAGACCGCCTGGGCTTTGGAACATTCCGTCTTGGATTTTCCCCCCCGGTTTTATTGAGATGTAATGGACATATTCGTCCTCCAGCTGGCACCCCCACATTTAGCCTCGAGTGCCCCTTACTGTCTCTTGCTTTAGGCGAGAGAGAGGGGAGCAAAACTGGCAGACGAGCTCTGCAATGTGAACTGAGCAGCACCCCGGGACTTTTTTAAGCGGTAACACAAACTTTGGGAAAAGACCACCTGGGCTTTGGAACATTCCGTCTTGTATTTTCCCCCCCGGTTTTATTGAGATGTAATTGACCACTCTTGGTTCTCACCCTAGCTTCATCCTCTCGAACATGACATCGGACACATTATGACATAAAATCCGTATGAGTTTCCTATTGCTGCTGTAACAAATCACAAACCCGATGGCTTACAACAACACAAGTTTTTTCTATTTAGTTCTAATAAGCCAAAATGAGTCTGATAGATTACAACCAACTGCGGGTAGGGTAGGTTCCTTCCGAAGGCTCTAAAGGAAAATCCGTTTTCTTGCCTTTTCCGGCTTCTAGAGCCACCTGTGTTCCTTGGCTTGTGGCCCTTCCTTTCGTCACCCAGCCTCTTGCGTCTATCATCCCGTCTCCCACTGCTGACCGTCACCTTCTCGCTCCCCTCTTACGTGGAACTGCGTTGGGCCCACCCAGATAACCCAAGGTATCTCCCCATCCCCAGGTTTGTAACTTAATCACATCAACAAAGTCCCTTCTGACACATAAGGTACAGTCACAGGTTCTGAGATTAGGAAGTGGCATGTTTAGCAGCCAGTATTCTGTTTTCCATAAATCATAAGAGACTCAGACAATTCTGGAAATAATAATTTCCATCAAATAGTGATGAGACATCCCTTCCTACGGTAAGACTTCCTTGGCAACCCAGAACCGGGTCTGAGCCTCCTCCTACGCGTTCCCATGGCCACCTGGGCTTACAATCTCTCTGCCCTTATAATCCCGTAGAATAATTATTTGATCATTATTATACCTTCCACTGTGTAACTGTGTAACTGTGTAACTGTGCCCAATTTATTTTTCCTGTCCCCAATATGGTGTCTGGCACACAATAGTTGCTCAATAAATATTTGTGGTCATGAGGATTAAATGAGACCATACAAAATGCCCAGCGCTGTCTGGCTCACGGGTGTTCATCCTTTGCTAACACCCATTATACCCAAGACAGTGAGAGAGCTTCTGTTTGTGACAAGGGAAACGTCTCCATCTCTAACGGGAACGTGCAAGGTTGCACGTTTTCTAGCTTAGAGTCAAACACTCCTTGGGCAATGAGCGGCGATGTCGCGATTCGCCTCTTCTGTTGTCGTCATAACATTGTTTTGCCCGGAACCCAGCTCCCATCTGCTAGAGGCTGAGGGCTCGCTGGCTTTCGGAGGCCGAGGGGGACAGGGGCAGGGGAGAAGGAAGACACCCCCTACTTGTATGTCTTCACCTCAGCTGGACAGAACATGAATGCAACCTGGGTCTGTCATTACCGTTTGAAGTGCAGGGAACTCTTGGCTTCTGTCTCTTCTCCTCTCAACGGGCCACGACTGCTTTTCTCTCCTGATGTCGCCACCAGGCCCAGTGAAGGGACGAGAAGGCAGCAGCCGTCGGGAGTTCTGGGCAGGCGCGTGGCGCTGGATTCGCTGGATTCTCGGACTTGCCGTCTGGCCCTCATGCAAACCATTCCTCTTTCCATTTCTGCATCTATAATAGGCATGACTCACCTCACAGATGCCAAGAAAATTCAAAGACTTTGTGTTCCTGTCAACAAAGGGGAAAGTTAAATGAAAAAGCTGCTGTCGACATACCTATCAGACTATGATTAGACCAAAGCTAAAGTCAAGGCCAAAGCAGGCTGCGATTTCATTTCGAAGCATGGAGTGGAGATCCAGCGCCAGGCTTTAAAGACGAGCCTCCCCGCCCCACGACGTGGATTCGGATTCAAACGTGTCCCAATGTAGGGACCCTGGACCCCTGCAAGTACACACAGTAGGACTTGAACCAGCAACCTTGCCTGCCAGACACGTAGCGACACAGACCGATTGCGCCTACAGCCAGAATCTGGCACACCAACCATACTTGCTGACAAAATAAGGTCTCATTGCCCGCAGAAGAGATTTTTAATGACCTGTTAAATTTTATAAAAAGTATAACAAAAAAACAAATATTAAACCAAACTTAGTTTTGCATTCAACAAGATACTCTTTTTAAGAAGAAAAAAAATCATACAATTAGGTCCCTGTGAGCTCCTTGAAGACTACTCCATTTTATTTATTTTCAAATCCCTTTCTTCAAATTATCCTTAAAATCGTTTGTGCTAAATAAACGTCGACCATTAATTATTCATCAGACACTACTTGCGCTGTCTGTCGCAGGGGTAGGAAGGGACTAGAAGGCCAGTCTTCGCCACCATGGGAGGCGACAGGCAGATGGGTTAAAAAGACACAGCGAAGGAACATCGTGTGAGTGGAAACACCGCGTCGACGTGGGACTTACACGGCGAGGGAACCGGTCGCTCGCTCACCTACTCTCATTTTTTCACGCAGAATCCCGAGACGATAAATCTTCGTCGTTGACGCCCCCCAGTCCGTGGTGCTTTGCTGCAGCAGCCCTAGCAAGCGAACACGACCCGGATGCACCAGAAGGCAGGGAGAGGCCAAGGGAAGACTCGGGAGAATGTGGAATCCTGGGCGCCGAGGAAAGACAGCGCCTGAGCGTGGAAGCGGTCGCCCAGGGCTGCCCAGAGCCAGGCCAAGGGAGGATGAGGGATGTCTCTTTTACGTGGCAGCACGTCGTCTGATGACCTTGGAAGGGTAGTTTTATGGAAGGGCAGAGGCCAGAGCCAGCGGGGTGGGGCACGAAGCAAGGCAGCATCTCCGGAGGGGAATTCAGCATGGAAGACTCCTCGGAAAGACAGGCCCTTGGAAATAATTTGTATGCCCGTAAGACCCACAGACGGAGGGGAAAACCGAGGGTGCTGGAGAGAGGGGATACCTGACGGGAAGGCCCTCGAGACAGACAGCGAGAGGCCCCTCGGAAGGACACGGGCTGTCATTCAGGGTGACGAGGAGAAAGGCTGAGCGTGAGGGGCAGAGAGGCTGATCTTAAATTGAGTGTAGTTTCTTGTGTTCTCGGTGATTAAACAGAATTTAAGCAGAGGAGATTTTTTTTTAAACAAATGTACGAGTCAATGATCACACGTGGAGTCCAGACGAGAAGAGGGTGTGCTGCTCGGGGAGGAGGCAGGGCCGCAGCAGCAGGGGAAGGTGTGAACCGTGCCGTTTGCAACTGCGAAATAGCCATTTAAGGGGACAGATGGAAATGGCATTGTTTGCCAAAGTCGCCGGGACAGCAGAACTGGAGTTTTGACAGCAGGCGGTGGGGGCTGTGACTCCAGGGGCTCCACTCCCAGGTGACTCAGGGAGCTGTCCCTGTGTCGCTGACTGACCACCTCAGCCGATGGGAAGGGTCAAGGCAATGATACGTTTTGAAAATAGTACATGTGGTGGTTCAAAATCTGCCATATTTAATTCGAAGGTGATAAATAGATCCTCTTTACCTCGTTTCTTCCCACCTACCTGGGATTGAGACCCTGCCTCTAGAGCAAGGAATTCTGGGAGTTCAGTAGCAGCACGACCTTGGCTCCTGGTAGCTGTTGACCTGTGGCCAATTGCACAATAACAATAATAATATAACAATAATAAATGTATCGAGCTCTTGCTATGTGCCGGGCCCTGAGCTGAGCACTTCAAGTCTGTTTTCTTCTTTAATCCTTATGCAGAACTGTGAGGTATAGACAATCAGCCTTCACATTTTACTCAAAAGAATCCGAGGCTCCCAGCAGTTAAGCGACATGCAGTGTGATAGACGTGCGCTTGCTCTAGGTGACTAAGTCACCCCAGTGTGACAGAGGTAGCCCTTGAAGCCACATATTCCGTTTAACTTCTCCGAGCCTCAGTTTGCTCGTCGTAAAGCGGGACTAGAAACACTCGCACGCAGGAGCGTCCTGGGTTCCCTGACGTGACGTAGCGGTAGAGGTTCGACGCCGGAAATGTAGGCATTTTAATAAAGGACGGGAGAGAGGAAGAGAAAAGTGATGACCACGACCATCAAGCCATAAATGAGAGTCGGTGAAATTCTGGGTATTGGTCGGAGAGAGTTGGTGCGGGGTGTTTTGACTTCGTGCCTCGAACCCCATGACGTATAGTCGTTCTTCAACGTGGTTTTAATTTTCAGGGCCAGGACCAGGGCGAATGAGGCACCAGCTTCCGTGCAACGTTAAGGGGACCCCAAAAACTTCAGTTATCAAGGTGAATTGTAGTCGCCATGCTGTACATTACATGTCAGGACTCACGCCTGCTCTGTCCAGCTCCCCACACCCCCTCGCCAGGCATCAGGCATCCTCGTTGTGGATGGAATTCGGTCACAGCTGCGTCACCCAGCCCTCGACTCCAGCGCTTGACTCCACTCTCTCTCAGGCGGCCTGCCACACACTTAATCAGTAACCAGGTCCTACCGGTTTTAACTCCAAAAGGCCCTTGAAGCTGTCCCCACCTCTCTGTTACCTCTGCCCCAGCTCAGACCCTCCTCAGATTTCACCCGGTCTCGGATGTGTCCTCAGATGTGTCCTCAGATGTGTCCTCAAATGCGCCCTTCCCCACCCCCATTGGACTTTCGGGGGCCTCTTCTGCTCAAACACCTGGCTCCTAGACCCAGCTCCTGCGCCCTCCCTGCTCAGACCCTGCCGTCTTTCTGACTTGCGCTTTGTTGTCTAGCAACAGTCAACTGCTGTTTTCCTGACCGCAAAATGTTGCTTTTCAGTTCCAAATCTGGGCTCACGAGGTTCCCGGGTTTGTCACGCCTTCCTCCCCTTCATCTGGCTCAGATCCCGTGGCATGTCCTCCAGGAAGCCTGCCCAGATCTTCCTCTCTCTCAAACTGAGTTAGGTATCCACTGGCTACATGGCATCTCATTATTCCCTCCCTGGGCTGTGAGCTCCTTGAAGTTACGAAATGCTGTATCTTTTTTCGTCTTTGGATCCTGAGTGCTGAAGATAGTACCTGGCACTCGGTGGGCATTTATTCGATGAGCATGTAGCGAGCCCATGACTGTTTATCGAAACCCTTGAGGGGGAGTGCCACCCAAGGAGTAAGGTGGGGGGAGGCACTTTGAACACGGAACAGTCGGACCTATCAGGCATTTCATTCCAGAGCTGCGGAAGGCGAAATGGAACCGGGAACTCGGAGTTGGTGACTGGGAGGGATCAGAAACCGCCTGGAGAGGCTCGGATCAGACAGAGAGCCGCCCGGATGGACAGTCCCGCAGATGGGGCAGCTACCTCGCTACGTCCCGCTGCTGTGGGTTCAGAAGCCACCAAACCAGAGGCAAAGCGAAGCGGTTATTCATTCCCTCAGCCAGGGCTTTCTGAACATCTCCTTGGGAGCAGGGGCTGGGGACGCGGCGGTGAACCGAGAAGGTTCATTGTCCCTGTTCTCAGCGAGCTCACTGGGAGTGGGGTGGGGGTGGGGGGGACAGAAAACACCAGAGCAAGCGCAGGACTATGTCATTACACTTGGTAATGAGATCTGTGAAGGGACTAAACAGGAAATGGCAGGTAGGCAGGGCAGGTCTCTCTTCAGAAGTGGTTTTCAAGGGGAAGGCGGCGAGGACAGGGAGGAGGAGCCACAGTGCAGGTGAGCGGGGGGAGGGGCAGAGCGAGCGAACGACGCTCCTTAGGGAGGCAGGTGGACTCGGGTGGGTCGGGTTGGGGGACAGGCTTTGTTCTGCGTGCCACCCGCCGAGGACGGGCTCAGGAAAGGGAGTGGCAGAGTAGCGGGGTGTGATCCACATTTGGGGGGCACGCCTGGGCCTCGGGGCGGGACGAGCTTGGAGAGGAGCCCGGAACGGGGAGGGAGAACAGTCAGAAGTGGTTGGGACCAGCGTTAGGTATTTAATACTTCTCTTTAGGAAACACTGTCATCGATCCCATTTCATAGCCGAGGAAACCACGGTTCTGAGCTGGAAAGCGGACCATGTCCGCTCTGTCCCGGGGTCAGCTCCGAAACCCCTGGGGCCTCTCGGGGGGCCCTCGTGCTCAGTGACACCACGTAACTTCCAGATGGGCAAAAACTAAAGAGAATGAGAGTGTCCGCGTTTGCAAGGCAAGAGCGGGAGGGAGATTTCCACCCACTGCAGATGGGACTGTACACTGGCACGGTCTGTCTTTCTAGAAGAAAACGCCATGCCTAAACGATGTGTGTCCTCCTAGGCTCCCAAAATCCAGGTGCAAGAACCCTAAAAAAAATCAACCGCTGGGCAAAGATGTCTGAACAAGTCTCATTTATTAGTATTTATAATAGTAAAATAGGTCGTTGATAAAATAGACTCCAGGATTATGTAGTTAATAACCGATCACTTATTGGCATGGAAAGACCACAGTATCCCGCCCGGTGAGAAAACTGGGTGGCCAAAAAATGTAGAGTGATTTCATTGTTGTAAAATATGTGCGTATATATACAGAGAAAAATTCTAGAAGGTTCTACGTCCAAATATTGAGAGTGGCTGTCTCTGGAAGACAGGAAATCTGGAGACTTTTGTTGTTGCTGTTTATCTATAGTGTCTAATTTTTCTAAATCCAAAATTTTAACGTTTTATGGAAGAATATGATGCAGACAGAAAAGGGCACTGATTCTATGCTCACAACTTGTTGCGTGATCTCAACTGAACACACCCATGTAAACCACACGTAAATCAGGAAGTAGAACAGTCCCGGCCTCTCAGAAGCCCCTTCGCAGAATCAAGGGGAACCTACTCTGTTGTGTTAGGCATCTTTTACCCAACGTTGTGTTTTGGGTGATTCTTCTACGTGGTGGCACTGAGTTGTAGTAAACCGATTGTTTAAAATTTTTAATGTTAATACCTTATCTTTTATAAATGTTAACCTTAGAATTTATGATTATCATCAGCATTTTCGTCACCTTATAAAGCAGTTTTCATGGATTGTAGCTCTAAGGAATATTATTATCCTCACTTAATAGACAAAGGGCCCGGGGCACAGAGGGTAACTGACCTGACTCCCGTTGGCGCGAAGCTAGCAGGTGGCCAGAGCCAGGACTGGCTCGTATCTAAAGTCACGTTCTGTGGCCCCACCTCATGGGATTGAGTAACAGTGGATCAAATGAAGGAAATAACTTGCTCACCATTAGGCTCTGTCGACATTGAGACAATTAGCTGGGGAAGGTGTTCTAACTCCTTTTCTGAAAATCATTCAGAATACCATACGCAGACCCTTCTAATTGGGAAGGTGGATATCCCATAAATATTCAACCTATTTTGATATTTATCGTCACTGGAGAGAATTTCTTTTGCTAATAATCTGTGATGGCAACATTTCTCATGTAACTCTCTCTATATACAACATAATTTTGTATATATATGTATCTGTACTTGTCATGTGGACTTTATATTTGCATGTGGCCACTCTCCTCTCCAGCTTTATGGATGACATATTATAGCCTCTTAGCGATCACGTGCGAGAGTTTCACTTCTCATTTGCAGATGAGAAAATTGAGACCCACTGGGCGGGGCTCAGACCTTCTGGCTCTTTGGACCACACACACCTCACTGAGTAAAGTGAGAAACTTTTTTCTCCCTAGAAACATAAACATCCTGATGGTTCATTAAACCGCGAGAGGGCTATCGTTTTCAAGAAAGTAGAACTGCGTGACTTAGCTTCACATATTGTAAAATCGTATTTCACTGTAAGATCCATAATAATCCTTCTTTAAAACAGTTGTGACTCAAATCATAAATGTGATTCTGCGCATCTGTATGATGAAACAAATTGCACAATCCAGTGCGATTCATAGAAATTTCAAAAGAAGTTAGCTGAATTAGCAGAGAAAACAAGAACATTTGCCTCAGCACTAACACGAACATCCTTGCCTTCCAGGCGAGGCTATTAGCCCTTACAGGCTGAGGGGGAAGCAACGGAAGGGCTTACGCTGAGCTCCTCTTGTGGGTAGTCTTTTTTTGTGTGTTAACTTTAGGGATAAAACCACAGATAAGCAATTCCTACCTGCAGTCTTCCTAGGTCTGAATCTGGCGTGAGATGCACTGCGTGGAGAGTGTTGGAGACGCTTCCTGGAAGTGGGCTCTCCTTGTGACTCTCGGGAACCCCAGAACTAGAGGGCCTGTTTTTCGTGACCACAGAACTGCTAAACCTATTCGTTTTCCCAGAGACCTTGGCCAGGCCCTTTGAATTCTTAGCTCTTCCTGGTCAGCCTTGCACAGCCTTGACCCGGCCCCCCGGGCCTCCCCTCCACCCTCCCGGTGGGCCTTCCAAGCCTCCCCTTTGAGAGCCTCTGTCTTCACAGTTACCTTTTTATAAATAAACACTGAGGGGGTGGGGGAGAGGTGGGGCTAGGTAAAGAAACAGATGAATGAGCTCTTGGAGCGGTTGCCCTTCTAATGACCTCCAGACAGGAGGGAGATATCTCGGCAGCGAAGCGAGGGGCCCTCTGAGCTCTGGACGTTCCCTGTGCCAGCTGGGGTCCTTGCGGGGGGCGGTGTAGGTGCACAGCTCGAGTGTTGAGTGAGCAGAGAGCTTTCCCAGCTTCCGGCGGGGATTCTACCCCTTAGAACCTGCCATGTGGCACTATTCATGTCTCTCCTACAGAAATGGCCGAGCCTGGGGCTCTGGTCTGTCGACCTGGACCGCAGCACTCTGAGAGGTCTCCATGTGTCCCCAAGCTCAGAGAAGTCAGCGCGCAGTGTGGAGGAAAGTTTGAGCGAGGGGTGCCGGAAGGGAGCGGCAATGGCCTACAGTGATCACGACCTTCGGTAAGGTCGGTGGTGGGACAGAGCCTGTGGGCTGCATGGCTGGTAAGAGGGAAAGTGAGTTCATCAAGGGGAGGGGTTCCCAGCAAGGCCACCAGCTGAAGGAGGGGCCGGGCTCGAGGGAGGCCCTCGCCGCTGACCTCTCCCAGAAGCCCGAAGGCCTCACGAAGTCCTCTGTCAACAGGTGGCTGACACCTAGTGTGCTGATACCTGTGTGAGGCTCTTGGAATGAGAAGCCCCCCATTCCAGGTGACCGCCCATCAGGAGGGGCCCCAGAGAAAAGTATAAGCGAGGTTTCATGTCCGTGATGTTGTTGTTGTTGTTGTTGTTATTATTAATTCTGGATTTAGAGAGAAGTCACAGAGACAGTACAGAGTTCCCATGTCACTCCGCGCTCAGTTCTCCCGAGTGCTAACATGTCACGCAGCCGCGGTCCATCTGCCAAAACTACGAAGTTAGCATCCGTGCAGCTGCGCAGACTTTACTCGGATTCCATCTGTTTTTCCACGAATGTCCTTTATCTGCTGCAGGATCCAGTCCAGGACACCACATCGCACTTAGCACGGCCATACTGTTTTATAGCTTTTAGAAGTCTGAAGAAATTATGGCAAAGTGAAGAGTCGATCGAACTTTCTGCAAGAACGGACGTTCGTTTTATCATCTTCTGGCTAGCAGAGGGGAGTATGACGTAGTGACGATGAGAGGGGCTCGAATTCTGGCTCCGGCACACTCTCCAGCCGTGACACCGAGTGGCCGCTTAATCTCTCTGCGCCTAACCGTCCTCATTTCACAAACAGGGGTAATCATGGCACCCACACCCTAGGATTATTCTGAGGCTTAAATGTATTCATTGATATAAAGCAACTGGACTAGCGCTCAATACATATTAGCTATCATTATAAATTATACGCATAGACAGTCTGCGACTCACAGTGGTTCCGCTTAACAGCTTTTCAGTTTTACGATGGTGTGAAAGAAATACGCGGTCAGGGGAAACTGTGCTTTGAATTTCGAATTCTGAACTTTTCCCAGGCTACCGATGGGCGCACCACACTCTCTGGCGAGGCCGGGCAGTGGGGCGATGCAGCCCCCGGCAGCCACGTGCTCACGGGGCTGACAGGACACTGTGCCGGGTGCCGCGTGCCAGTGTTTTGTGGATATTGTGTTCTGAGCGCGTCTAAGGGGGGCTTGGCTAAGCTATGATGTTCGGCAGGTTAGGTGCATAAATTGCATTTTAGTCTTAAAATATTTTCAGTTTGGGATAGGTTTATCAAGTCATGACCCCACTGTAAGTTGAGGAGCATTTATATAATGTTTCACCATAAAGAAATTTTAAGCTCTTTTGAGCTCCTCCGGATCCCAGTTTAACGGGAAGTAACAATATCCTTGCTGTGTTCATTCCCCGTGTCATAGAACATACCACACTGAGAATCTTTTGTGTCCCCAACAATGCACTCCACCTAGCACATCATGGGACACACAGGATTAGGTGTTTTCAGCCCAAAGGAAGGATGGAATAAACAGGGCGGGACAGCTCCCCCACGGCACCCGTAAAGGGGGCTCGGGTCCAGGGTCAGGCAGGATGCACGTCGGGACCGCGGCAGGTGCATTTGTCAGCTCAGGGCTTTAGCGGTGATGGAAAGACGGTGTGACACCGTGGCGGGTCCCAGCTCGGAGCAGAGCGTGGATGTGTGGACCAGGACGCCAAGCGAGAACTGCGAGCCGCGCTCCGGAGAGCCATGCGGGCTGGAGGCGGGGAGGCTTCTCCACCCCGGGCTGAGCTGCAAGCGCCAGGCCACGGGGACACGTGACGGGGGCTCGCTGAGCCACGTCTGCAGTCGGCACTCACCCCGATGGCTGAGGAGCAAGCCCCCGC